TAATATAAGTAGCTAGATTATAGCGTAATATGACTAATACTAAATCATTAATAATTATTTTCAAATTCGCCTTTGTTATTAAACAATAAGTATTACTATTCGAAACACTAGAAATTCTCGTGGCAGTTGACGTGTTAACTTAGTTCATCGCAGAGAAGTGCTTCAATATGTGCATAATTATGAAAGTCTAAATCAAAATTAAAGAAGAAATGAGTTTATCGGTTGTTTCGCATTATTTTGAACTAGATTGAAACGAAGAAGAATATATAACTTACACCATTTTCATAATTATAGACACATATAGCATAAACAATTTTGAAAAATAAAGGAACAAGAGAGTTTCAATAATATCGAACAATAACATCCTAAGAATTAATACAATATTAATTTCTTTCAAAGTAATAACAAAACCTCGATGCATAAATAAAATCTAGTACAATCAATCACGAAAGAGATCGAGAAATTACGTGTTCGAAAATTTGACCCTTTGACACGAGAATACATTGTTCTATTTCCGCAGCAGTCTCTGTTTTCGTAGTTGCGTACCGGGCGGAATAATTATTATCGTGTCACCAGTGTAAATATCTATCTATCCGGAAGGTTAATAAAGCATGTATTCATGTATTCACGAAACGGTGCACGATCTATTGTCTATCACGAAATTATTCACCTAGCGTTATATTTGCGAATCCACGGTGAAGTTAGGATACCAGGTATCTGGGACACGGACGTTCCACGGAATAAAATTGACTCATGTCAACTGCAAAATAATCCTCCAACCCTCTGACGAGATGGGACATTAATAATGATAATATCCCCCAGCGAAATTTCATATTCTTCCACTGTCATTTTAGTAAAGGCTCCTCATACACCCGCTGAATTTTGAATAAACTTTCGCAGAACTTGCGCGCGGCCCGGGCAACGTTTTTCGACGATATTTCACGAAAACGAGCCTGTTTACGTAACTAGATGGTCTAGCGAAGCTCCGAGCCGAATCGGAATGGCGCGTGGCGGCGCGGATCGGAGCGTTTAGAGAGATTTCACTGGAAATATCAATTTTTAGGAAGATGTATCTATTTATTGGCGATTTGAAGGGAAATTTCGATGTTGATGGAAATTTAGGAAAATGTGTGGATTGATTAGAGAGTGAGGTGAAAATTTCAGATGTTGATGGAGATTTAGGAAAGTGTGTAGATTTATTAGAGATCGAGGTGAAAATTTCAGATGTTGATGGAGATTTAGGGAAATGTATGTTTATTAGAGATTCAGGTGAAAATTTCAGATGTTGATGGAGATTTAGGGAAATGTGTAGATTGATTAGAGATTGAGATGAAAATTTCAGATGTTAATGGAGATTTAGGAAAGTGTATATGTTTATTAGAGATTAAGGTGAAAATTTCAGATGTTGATGGAGATTTAGAAAAATATATATAGATTTATTATAGATCGAAATGAAAACTGTTTAATATTAGTAGATTTAGAAAATATATACATTCATTAGAGACCAATATCAAAAATTTCGATATTCATGGACACTCAGGAGACTATACACATTTATTACAGACGAACAGAAATATGTCAAAACCAAAATTGGAAGATTAATAGAACTCAATACATTGAATGCCATAGTAATTAATAACCTGTTTTCAAATTACTCGAAACAATTACAATATCCAGAACAGTTGATATACAATCAAAACGTTCGAAACTGTCATACGTCAAACGTTCGAAACTGTCATACGTCAAACGTTCAAAATCGTCATTCGTCAAACGTTCGAAACTCACTCATCAAACGTTGAATTTAAATGAAATTAGAAAATTGAATAATTTTCTAATCATCGATTAATCAAAAACCAGTTCGTTTCAAACTTCCAAATTCACTAATCAATCAATAATTGCTTCTATCTCCGATAGCAAAGGCGATAACGGCTACACAAAAGACTCAAAGATTCTCGCGTCGCTTAACCCGTTAACAGATATTATAATTAGATGGTTACGCAACATTAAAATTAGCCGCGTAACAAACAAACGGAGGAAGTGACACTTCGTTCCCACACGACGCGAATTTCATGTTTCTCATTAACCAGCCACGTGGCCCGGGGTTCGCCGCGACAATTGCCTCGTTCGCCGCGGAGCGCGATTCGCAATTAATTGGAAACTTTTCATCTGACCAATCATGGGGGTTGCGAACTTTGTACGGTGATTAATTGCCCTCGTCGTGGAGTGAGAAACGGTACCGGAAGGAAGATAAAAAAAGAACCGAAAGAAAGATGTTCCCTCGTTCGTTTGTTTGACGAACTCGAGCGATAACCTGGAGATCGTCGTCCCTGTAACCTCGAGAAGTCATTCACTCGATGATTCCGGGTACTTTTAGTTATCGACGAAAATTTCGATTGGAATGTGTCACGTTTCAGTCATTGAATATTTTCGATTTTGTTTATCTGCGCAACGTGTTGATGAGTAGATAGAATTCCTCAAGGTCTGGACGATGATGCAATATGTTTTTGATGATCTGTGTTGTTCGTTTAATTAAACGTGTGAAAATGAGCTAGGCCTGAATTCTTCTTTTTGAAAAATTATTAGGGAAATTGATTTAACAATGGGTAAACTGAGTCGTAAAGCAATTGAATTTTCAATGACAAAATCAATCACTTTTGGAGTTTTTATAGAGGAATTTCGAAAAGTCAATTTAACGGTAGTTTTAGTGTTAATTTGGATTGATACTGTGATTGAGATTGAAGTGTTAACAGTAAAGCTATCATTTCTTCTGTTTGCAGTGATGAAAAAGGTAATAGATGACTTCCTGCGAAATTATTAGAGAAATTGATTTAGCAATGTGTAAACTGAATTCTAAAGCAATTGAAGTCTCAATGGATGCACTTTTGGAGTTTCTATACAGGAATTTCGAAAAGTCAATTCAACGGTAGTTTTAGTGTTAATGATGTAGATATTGCTGAATTACCAATGAAGTTTATTTAGATATAATTCACGATTGTAAGGGGATTTAGCTGAAATATGATGTGAACATAGGGTGAAATTCAGAGAGATCAAGTTTAGACATTTACGAGGCACAAGAGACTCAAGATTAAAATTTGAAATGCAATTTAAAATTGAATCGTAACTATAATAATTAATTTCTAAGATTTCAAAAATTCAACAATCTCTTTGTTTCTTCTAACCATCGAAGTGGCAACTTATTCTTCATCTAATAACTGGTCAAATATTATTAGCCTTTGCACTCGAGAGGTGACTCTCAGTCACATGATTCGATACAACAAAACTATGAAGTTGAATATTTAATATTTCAAATTAAAGTTTGCATTGCTACGTGAAATATTTAAATAAAACACCTCTGTCGCTTAATTTATCTATGAATTATCGTTAAATTAGTTTCAAACAATATGACCTATATCTCGTCGGAAAATATTGAATACTTCCATTGAAAAACTTTCGAGTGCAAAGGGTTAGATACTAATATAATGAGTCATTAGTCAATTTCGAATGACTCAAGTGTTACGTTGAATAGAAAAATTTAGGTTCCTGGCATATTTGGGTGGGTGTTATTGATGGCAAGTGCCTCAGAGGAGGAGGTCAGTCAAAATTTGTATAGTTCTGTAGGGGACATAAGGGTTGATCGAATGAAATTGCCTGGAAATATTTCGGAGGTCCATAGATAAGTCCCCAGTCCGTTTAAATGGAAATGTACGTGTCTCTATAGCACGGTTACAGAATACTTTCTGCCGGATCGAGCTGTTATAGCTTTTCATGGCTCGACACTCCCAAAGGAAGAGTATCGATGGGATTTACTGATTTTCTCGCGGAATAATTCAAGAGGCTTCCAATAAAACGTTCATCGAATATCTTCAGCCAATAAGAATCACGAGGGAAGTTCCTTTCTTAGGGATAATAATCTTACTTTCGATCTCTGTAACTTCTGCTGGCACTATTGCAGTCCGTAAGCTACCAAAAGGAAAATACTAATAAAAAATATATTTAATCCTTTACACTCGAAAGTTTCTCACTTGAAATGTTCGATACTTTCTAACTAGATGTAGACGAGATTCTTTGAAATGAATTTATTAAGAAATCACACACGAATTAGGGAACTAAAGCTTTCTAAATATTTTCTGTCAATTTTTGTATTCTCCATCACTCTGAAAACCAGATCGATATCTTCTGAGAAAATATTTTTAATTCTATACTTAATGAATTCTTTTGAACACATTAACCTCTCCGTTCATTTGTATAATTGGATATCTCGTTCGAAGATAAACGTTATTACTTGAAATTTCTTCCCCGCCATTAGCAGCTCCCAAAGTATTCAACAAAAGAGATTTTCCTCCCTCGACTTTCCTTTCATCTCTTTCATAAACTTCGCTGATTGCCAAGTTCCATCAAAATCAGCAATTAGCACCTAGCGGTCCTCTACGACGGCGTTTAATTCAATTCTACATTTGTATTATGAAACAACAAACCCAAATTAGATTTGATTCATCAACAAAGAACTAGAAACTTATTCTATAAAACATTATTCAGATTCCTACAGAACCACAACGATTCAATTATTTATTCGTCCATTATATTGACCCAAGGTCACCTCGTTCCGACGCCCAGAGCGAAATTAAGTTGCGAAAATTAGGGGCGAAGGAGGGTTAAGCAATCTGTGTACACAATCACTCATTTCCGACGCTTCTCCTCGGTGGACGCGTATCCTGCGAGCTAAAAATGCTTGCGTAACATCGATCTCGAAGCTACAAACCTCAATATTATTATCATTATCCCGATAATTCACACGAAATTACTGTTCAACGTCCAGCGGCTCGTAAATCTGCAAAGCCGCCTTTAATGTCCCTCTCATTTCTCTTTAATCCTCCCGCCCTCTGATCCCCAAGGAACAAAACAATCAATCCCCAATAAACAAACAGCAAAAATTCGATAACCACGGAGCAACAATTCCGAGGGAAAAACGTTGACCTGGAAAAATTACAAAGCATCCTCACCGAGCATTTTCAGCACCCTCCTCGACGATTTCCCGGGATTACCCCTACAGCTGCCGCCCTCTCCCCTGCCGTGGCTCCTCTTCATCATATTCGACTTCCTCAGCTTGAGTCCGATAAGCACGTACAGCACGATGATAAGGCTCATCGGCACAACGAAGAAGAGGAACGTCGATAACTCGAACGAATGACTCAGTATAACGTTTTTTACGGTGCACATTATTATCGCGGGGTCGCGCGGGGATTGGATCACGCCTAACTGCAGCGCTTGCGGCAGAGCGAAGGACAGAGCGACCAGCCAGATCATCAGGATCAGCTTGACGGCTCTGGTCAGCTTCGACATGGTCTGCGAGAGGAACGGATGGCAGATCGCCACGTACCTCTCCACGGTGAAGGCAGTTATGGTCAAAACCGACGCGTTGGCCGACGTTTCTCCAGCCAGGCCCCTGATTATGCAGAAACCCTCGCCGAAGATGTATGGGTACTTGCACCACACTAGGTAGATCTCCGGCGGCAGCCCGGACACCAGGAGCAACAGGTCCGACACCGCCAGGCTGAACAGGTAGTAGTTGGTCGCCGTGTGCATCGTCTTGTTGCGCGCGATCACGATGCACGTGCTGATGTTCCCGATGGTCCCCGTCACGAAGATGGACATGTAGATGATGGTCACCGGCACTACGATGTACAGGGGATCCCTGCGCGATCTGTTGTCCATGGAGCTGCTGTCGTGGGGATCCTCGTGCAGCTCGCTGTAGAACTTGGAGACGTTCTGCAGCAAGTTCTGGATGATGGGGTAGCTAGAGTGGGTAGCTGACTTGTCCATTGTAGGATCATTCCATGCGGATCCTGGATCCTCTATGATCAGAGGATATTTTCCGTACAGTTGATGATTCTTGTTTCTGGGTTATTCATTGGATCTCTTGGATTGTTACATTGTTGGCAGCTGTGGCTTCGTCCAATCGGCTCGGTCCATTTATGGTTGGCTACCGGTTTGATTCTTTGTATCGGCTCTCACTGGGTTATGGGGAAATTTCACTGGTTAAGACATCTGGTGGGTATTCTTTTGTAATCACAGACGTTAGTCTACGAGCTAGATGCTTCACAAGCAGTTTCTGTTGGTGCTCGATTAATTTGAGGTATTAAGTTGATTTTGTTTTCGGATGATCGATGGGAATCGAAGGATTATTGATTTATTGTGTAAGAGGTGGTGATCACAAGTGGATGTTGGTTGATGCCGATGGGTGGGGGAGGCCGATCTTTTACTGTCCGATTGTTGCGAAACGGAGAACCTGCACCGGCGCCGCGCGAATCACGACTGCGGACGCGCCGGACGCGGCCGACGACGCCGGTCACCGGCGATTCTGCGCACCTCCGCGTCCACAGCGTCGGTCCTTCCCTCGTGGCTCCTTCACGCGCGTCCTACGGCCGTTTATTCGGGTACCCAGCGGCGAAACCCGCGCCCCGATCATTTCACTGCGCGCTACCGTTATTTTTCTTTGACGGAACAGGAATTTTACGGCTCGACGCGGCTTATTGGACGGTCGAATATGTTCCCAGGATTAATGTGCCCGTGGGACGGATGAGCTTTTGTCGATTCTGTTTGCTCGGGGATCGGAGAACGTCAAGAGTGTCTGGAAAGTGATAACGGAAGTTTTACGCTTTGATTTTGATTTTGCTTTTTGGTCTGCGGTGCAGTAGAGATGTGCTGGTTTGGGTTTTAGTGGAAGTAATTTGTTCTTGGGAGCTTGGAAGTATGGAGGTTTGGTGGTTTTAACACTAGGTTTACGGGACGCGTCAAACTGACGCATATTGAAATCCAATAGAAATATTGTTTTGTAAATGTTTACGCCGATTTTGATTGATGCAATCACACTGATATGTACCCCAATTACCTGCTATTAAATCTCCAATTTCCACAATCTAAATAAACGAGCATCAATTCTTTTAGGAATAATGGAATGAAGTGTACAATAAATGCTCGTAAACCCAGTGTTAAAGTATGAAAGTTAGAATATTTGTAGGTTTGAAAGTTTGGAAGTTAGAATATTTGTAGGTTTGAAGGTTCGAAAGTTTGAAAGTTTGAAAGTTTGAAAGTTTGAAAGTTTGAAAGTTTGAATATCTGTAGATTTGAAGGTTTGAAAGTTTGAAAGTTTGAATATCTGTAGATTTGAAGGTTTGAAAGCTTGAAAGTTAGAATATTTGTAGGTTTGAGAGTTTGAAGGTTTGAAAGTTAGAATATTTGTAGCTTTGAAAGTTAGAATACTTGTAG